GTATCGTGCGTTAAGTATTGTGATAATATCGTATCGTGGGATGTATGGTGATTCCCACCTCTATTTGGTATGGCTTCGCGTATTTGTATTAGGTTGTATACTTTTTGTTTTCAAATAATAAAAAAGAAAACAAATGATCAATGAACAAATATTTTCTCCATGTCAAAAAGAGTTTTTCAAAGCTCCACAGTTATTAAAATGTACACCGTTCCAACCTGCAGTAGCTTGTCACAAATATCCAAAGTATAGGAAACATTTTACGCTAATATATAGTCATTAGTGTAAATTTTTAGTATAGTGCAGGATATAAATTTGTAACAGTAAAAACGAGTTATCATCACTTTTAGTGGCGTTAGTATGAAAGTCTTTACATTCATGTTATGTGTACTAGTGTCAGACAGATTGGTACTCTCTCTCCCAGGCTGTGTATCTGTCCATCAGGTTTCGTGCTGAGGGTTTGGTGTGTTCAATCACATTCAGGAAATCAGCTGTTGTTACAGTTTCCAGTTGGATGGCGGGCATGTCTGTGTCATCTGTAAAAGAGAATCACAGTAAGACAGAGAAGATGGCTGTTGTAGAGGTCAATCTTGACATTGTGTGTGTGTTGTCCTACCATCCTGATGTGACTCCAGAGCATCAAAGATCTTTCGAACTGGTCTCATGGCAGCTTCCTTACATGCCAATCTTATATCTGAGCCAGAGTAGCCCTCCATCTCCTGGAAATAAAACACACAAATGTACAGATGTACATGAGTGAACACATTTCCTTCCAGATAACATATATGATTTATGAAATATTAATTACAGAAAAATTGTTAAGCATAACGATTAAACATTTGACAAACTCCATACGCACTTTTGCCAGTGCTTCGTAGTCTAGCACAGTGCGTAGCTCCACCCCTCCTGTGCAGCTGAGAGGAGGCAGCCAATGAGAAATCATGGCTTGGCGAGCTGGTGAAGAGGGAAGACTCACTAGAATCCGCTTCTCTAACCTCCTCAGCATTGCGTGGTCCAGTTCCCTGAGAGAAGATTTATTAGAAACAAACAAAGGCAGATTTAACTGTCATAATTTTATAGCTGTATTAGTAGTCATCTTTTTGTATTTATACAGCTGTGACTTTGAAATCATAACATCATAATCTTGTGTTTGTCAAGAAAATGAAGGGTCTTTTTTCAAATGCATTCAATGCAAGAAAAATGAATGAATGTTAAAATCAGGCTGAGATGATGCTGGCAATAAATTTACGAGGAGGGTTGAAACAGCAAAAATAGTGAGTTGCATTTTTCTGTCTTCCTATTCATTTGTATATGCAACAGAAGGCCAATAAGTCCAAATGTGCATGTGATTAATCTACCAAGGTAGGTTGGAGGCAGCAAGTACAAAAACCAGGTCATCTGATCTGGCTAGTCCATCCATCTGAACCAGTAACTCAGTCTTCATCCTGCGACTCCCCTCGTGCTCGCCCCTGAAAGCAGTAAACAGAGGTTTTGTGGACAGCAGCAGTGGCACATCTACATTTTACTGCACTT